CTTTGATGACAATAAATCAAGTCGTTTTCTAAAGAATCTCTTTGAAAAGTTAATATATCTAAGTTAGTAAATTATTTTTCAGATTTTTTGATTAATTAAGTTATTAGAGATTAAAAATCTATGGTGATTTTTCATCACCTTGAGGCAAATGGATGCTAACCATTAGTCCTTTCTATAAAAAATATTGGTTGGAGATTAAAAGGGGTGTAGATTGACTTTTTAATGACAAGTTGTACTACTTGCATAGATATGCTAGTAGGAAGGCTCTTAAATTAGTTTTTACTTGTAAATTACTGACAATGGTAATTACCAATAAATGGCTTGAGGGCTTGGGTATATAAAGCCCTCTCAGAGCCTTATTCTCTCCCTCTCACCTTTGGTTTGAGCCCTAAGTACGGGTTGCCCATTGAAGCACCAAAGAGTTGTAGTATTTTTATTTATTATAAACTTATGTTATGAGTTATTTCTTCCATATCCTTGCTGGTCCTCTTTGAGCTCACTATTAGTGGGATTATTTTATTTTTTAAACATGTCCATTGTATAGGGAAAAAAGAATTAGAACGGTTATATGAAAGAATCATCAAATTTGGAATTGAAATGAAAAAGTTATGGAGGTTTGAAGTTGGGAGGTTTTTTTTTTATTATTGCTGATTTTGCTCTGCCCTGGTGGTGGCTGTTGCTACTGCTTTATCCATGTATTGTTTTCATCTGACCATGCAATTTCCATCCAACAACATTATTTTCATTGGATTGTGTTGTTTCCATCTCAATTGAGCTTATTTTCATTCAACTATGATATTTTCATCCAAAAGTTTTGTTTCCATCCAATCATATTTTTTTTCATCTAATAGCACTGTTTTTATCCAATGGTGCTTATTTTCATCCAATTGCTTATTCCATCCATTTTTTCTTTCATCCAACTACTTTCATTTGCTAGAATTTTATAATTCTTTTTTTTTCTTATTTTGTTTTTTATCACTTGTTCTAAATTAAATGGTGACCATTGCTTAGAAGACATTATTTAGTTAATTATAAATTGATTGATTAATTAATCAATCATTAAATTAATCTCTTAATTAATCTCTATTACCTTCCAAACTTATTGTGAAGTTATTTTTCCTCTTAAAATAAAATGAAGAGGATTTATAGCTCACAATGTCACTCAACTTCAAGGTTTCTTCTTCACATGTCTCACACAATATATTTTCTTCATTATCTGTAAGGTATATACTTCTTCTTTTAATTACTTTAGTTTTAATCCTAAGTTGATCACTAATTTTAGTCAAGATTTAATTTTTCATAGAACCACAATCTAAAAGCACTTGATATGGTTGTTTTCTTTGTTGTCCTATTAGATATACGAGTCAACCTTTTTATAGTTGTCCAAGGCCATGCGGTTTATCTCTAAGAGACAACAAGTATCTCTAATATTGGCTATCGATGCCTTTATTGGAGAGCCTTGTTTTCTTGCTCTATTTCATTATTGATTCAATGATTTTTATGACTATAAATCTGCCTTGATTTGTTGTTGCTTGAATTTTGATGTTTTAGACAACTTCTAATTTGATGAGTTGGCTTTCGTCAATAGAAACATAATCCCTTCTATGCCAATATTTGTCATCTTTGTCATGTCAATAATTCTTGTAGGACATCAATCTCTATTGGCATTGTTGTTGTACCACACTATTAGATAGCGGCATAGGAATTTGTGCTATAGGTCATATTCTATGATTTTTGAAATCTATAGCATTGAACTTCTTTGTAATTCTCATTGACTCTTCAAATGTTTGTGGATCCTTTAGTTCTACCTCTCGCTAGATCTCAGATTTGAATTCTCATAGAAATCAATCCATCATCTCCACTTTTAAAATATTGCCAATTTGGAGAGATAAAAACTTGAATCAAGAAACATAATCTTGTTCCAACTTGAATTGTGTAAGATTTGCCAACTAATTGCATATTATTTTTTCTACATTGATGGCCCAAAATTGATTCTTAAACTTTGTCTTAAATTCCTTCCAATAATAAAATCTACCTTGAGCTTTATAGCTTTGAACTTGATGTCACTACTAAATAATTGTTACATCTTTCAAAGAGTTGGTTGCATTCATAATTCTTTTGGTGGTATTTGCTTTAGATACTTAGTGGTATTATCACATGCTAAAGAGCCATTGACATACATCTTCTTGCTCTAAAGTCTTAGAGTATGTACTAGGCTTTCTCAATTTCAGCCTAACATATGTCAACTTCTTTATCCTAAAGGCTTCTATTTGTCTTTACAAAGTATCTATCTGGCCTAAGAAGTGTTGTATCTGAGCCTCCATCCAAGTTTGTCACTTACTGAAAGTGTAAAATTCACTCTTTAATCCCAATTATAAGATGGCATCAATTAAGAGTTTCTTTTAATTGGTGGTGTGAAGTGAAGTATGCAATTGACAAAAAACCAAAAAAGAACAAGCACAATACAAGTAAAAGAAATGAAATCAAGTAATTACAATATCCAAAATTAAGTCATAGTCTATTCATTATATTTTTATTCAGTAAAAAGTAAAAATTAAAATTAAAAAAATATGTTTTGAGATAGGTAATTTTATTATCTTTCCAATGACATAAGAAATATATAAATCCGAATTACTATGAGTAAGTTATAAAGTTTTAAAAATAGGAAATAAATAATTAAAAAGTGAAGTGAAAATATTTTATCTCAAGGATAATTTGCCTATAGATAAAGAGTTTAAGCCTAACCAAGGCTCACATTTAGTGTATAAGGGTTTCTAAGAGAGGTCACGAGGCCTTAGTCTTATCTTCCTAACTACCTTCAAGGTGCTACAATTCATATGGAACTTATGCACCTCTCTTCCTACAAGGACTATACTAGCTACTGGTTCTCCTATTTTCTATTAGAAGGACCAATATTTTTGCATTTTTGACCTCACTATGGTATTTAAAAATATCCAATTAACCTACAGACCTTGCGTGGCCTTCAAATCTTGCTCCATTTCTTCCTAAAGGCTCCCAAAGTGATAAAACTTCTTTTTACTAAGATCTTAAAAATTACTCTAAAAATTCCTAAAAAATAATATATAAATTCTAAATAAAATTTGAAAAATCCTATAATATTTTTATAATATTAATATCTATTTGATGCTATATTTTTCTACCTTTAATATTTTTTATAATAATAAAAATTAATTTAAATACACTATAAATCTTATTTTTTTCATATCAATAAATAAAATGACATGAGATTCTTTCTCATGCTTCTTCTAACTACTAATATTTATAGTTTTTATAAGTAGTACATACAAATAAAAGACCAATATAAATATTGGTCTTATTAAATAATCCTTAATATTTAAAAATTAATAAAAATACTAAATCAACAAAGATAATTACCTCTAAGACTTATTAAGATTTCATTTCCACCACTAACATTCTAATTTTCTATTTTTCTAAGGATTTCTACACTATTTACTATATATTATGATTTAAAGTATTTTAAATATATATTTTTATTATAAAATACTAAGTAAGTCAATTTGATAACTCACACTTGCCAAATTAAAAATGATACAAGTTCTTTGCCTAATAATATAGTTATATTTCTTGATCACATGATTGTTGATTGATAAATAATATTATTAGTTGATGTTATTTATCCAAGTCTAGCAAAAGACAATGTAGCAAATGATGGCTTTTTAAGAGATAAAATTATTTTATTGGAACAAAATGATAATTTGGATGAGACTAATCACAAGTTTTTGGCTATCTTTTTGGAAAAGAATAAGAATATCAAAGAATTGATGAAGTTATTATCAAAGATGGAGTCAATAAAAATAATGTTTATTTAATTCAATTCATCAAGTTGCTTAATTCATTTGAAGTGGTTAAATCAAGGCTTTGTCTTAAGATTAGATCTCCAATAATGCTACTAAAGTATATTTCTTTTTGCCAAAGACTTTGCAATAGAATCCAATTGGTAATTATACAACTAATGGATTGAGTTCTTGAAGCAAGAATCAAATTTATATGAAACTTGATGTTCATTTTATAAATTACATTAAATTATTTGATAAAAATATAAACATTGATTTAAAATAAATAAATAAATAAATAAATAAAAATCTAATATGTATTGCATTTGTAATAATAATAAACAAGTTCTAAGGACATTTAGTAAAACACTTTGGCTCAAATCTACGAAGAGCTATTTTTTTCTATAGTCAATTTCATGTAGCACTTTTTCAATGCACTTCTTCACATTCTATCAAGGTTCTTCTTCTTCCAAATAAGAATTCAAATTCTATGTTAAATATTATTTTTTTAAGATAATTTGATTAATTAATTATTGATTTTTTTATATATTTTATATTTTATTTATTTATTCATAATTTCAAAATTTGACTTTAGTACATTCTTGAATGCCTTAACATGATTTTATACTTTCTTATGGTTATGCCTTAACAAATAGTTCCTTTAACAAAATTAACTAATGTTTTACATATTTTTTGTAACAACAATACAAGTTCAAGTAGCCCCTTTTTTAGAAGAAAGTTCCATTGTGCATTTTATTTCTTTTTTTTTTTTGAAAAAAATATGAATAGTGTTTTTTGGCTCACAAACATGTCTTCAAAAAAATGCTTCTTGGAAGTCAAGCTTTTTGTGCCAATGGCACAGGTTTAGCTAGTATATTATATGATCCACATTCAACTAATATTAAATTCATTTATAAATATATTTGTAATATTCAATAAATTTTATAAATAAAAATTAATCTTTTATAAGTATGCATGCAAGAATATGTATACTTGCACATGTTGATGATGTTTCTCAAGTCCACAAGAGGTATTTCAAGATTTAAAGCTCTCTTGGATCAGGACATAGTGTGAACGCACAGACATCTAAACTTGCTAGGATCAAGGGGAACGGAATTGGGAACAGGAGAGCGTGGGAACGTAGGTCGTGAGGGACGCGGCACTGCTTAGGGTATAGTCGAGCATCGCTGCTGATCCCCGCTTACTGTGTTGGTTTTCCTGGTGTTTCTGATCAATTCTCGTTTTGTTGGTGTCGAGTTCCATCAATTCCTCGACACTTTTGATTGTTACGAGTTCTAAGTCGGAATCTTCTTATTCTTCCTTACATTTCGAGCTGTTTGGTCAGGTTTTTCTCGCTTTCAAATGGAGGGAAAGCTTGCGGAAATCACCCTATTGTTTCAGAAGTTTAAGGCTGCCTACGGAAAGAACGATGTGGATACCAGTGACAACATTCTTTCTCAACTCAAGGTTTTGTTCTTCTTCGGCCCCTGCTCAATTGGAAAAAGTATTGATAGCTTTTAGGTTTTGGTGATGCAGGTTTAATTTTTTGCGGCAATTTGTTTCCTGGGAGTAGTTTGGATTTGCAAATGTTTTTAGTGGTGAGGAGTTTTTCGATCTTGCTGGATCGAGGATTGAAGGAGATGTGTTAGGTAACAGTTATAGTTGGAACTGCATGGTGTTGCGTGAGCATTTATCAAACCAGTATTTGAATGTTGTAGGTGAAGTTGACGGAGTTGCCTGGTCTTCCGCCTCTGTTCAAATCGTCTCCAACAGCTGTGCAAGAGCTCCTTCTCGCAAGTATGTATAGCTATTTCTTGCGCTTTTAAGGATGTTCCCACAGTCGTTTGCAGATCCTTTAGCGGTAGTCACCTTGTTCAATTCAATTCTCTGTCGATTGTTTTTATACCTCTACTTTTGTTGAAATGCTTTTAGGTCTGGTCTGGTCCGGTCCGGAATAACAATCAATCGTTGACGGTAAAATACATGGTGTTGACTATCAGGTTTCTTACATCTAGCTTGTTTGTGTAGCGGAAGTATCAAATGAATAAACTATAGTGTGTCTATAGAGTTTAGAATTGAAATGTTTTTCCGAAATGTCCTTGATGACGTAGCTTCTAATTCGTCATGCTCGCGATCGTGAGCAAGAATTTTGAGGTAGTTTTGGTAGCATGCGGTGCATTAGATGACATTCTTCCCCACGATGCCTCGAATGCATTGTAGACATTTGGGGGCAGTCCCATTACCGCCCTTATTGACTTGTTTGCAAACCTAAAGATCATTCCTTTTTTTGGCAGGAGATATTTTTGAACATGCTGTCGTTCTGAGTGTGAAAATGGAGGATCAGGATGCATTCGAGCGTCATTTTCTTCAACTGAAGTCGTATTACACCGATACTAGGTATGGGTTAAACATTTGAGTTTGATAATGATAGGGTGGACAGCCTAGGTGCTTCTTGCCTGTCGCTCTCAACGTGTGGTTACTCCATAAAGAATCCATAAGGTTAATGCACGGAGGTTGTGATTCTGCCAACCTCACCTTTTACACTTAGTCATTTTTACGTTCTCATCGTTAGTGGGCTTCACACCTACATTCGTACTCGATTTCAGTCAGGTGCTTTTATAAGTTGTTTTGGATGTTAAAGAGCCTACTGTGCCCATTTTCACTGTATTTACTGTTATAACATTCTCAACCTTATGTGTATTCTTGTAAAATCCCCATGTATCTCAGAATTGTCTGAAAACTGGAATGCACAAATTTGTTGTGTTGAGTCACGTTACATTGTTGATCAATTTTTCTTAAACATAAACTGCAGGGGTTTGATTCCTCCATCAGAACAAGAGTATCCTATTTTAGGTCTTAACTTGCTCCGGCTATTAGTTCAGAACAGAATCGCGGAGTTTCATACAGGTAATTTGCTTTTTTCTTTTGGCGCATTTGGTTAAGACAGTCTTGCAGTTTTATTGCACGAAGTGCCGTTAAGCCTATCCTTCTTTGAACAATATCCTACATTGCAGTTGTATTTGTCCGAACACGGAACATGTAGTGAGCCCTTTTTGTTGTAAATACTTGAGCCGAAGGCCATATATTATGAAGGCAGCTAATGTTCTTATCTTTCTTTTTATCTGTATCTGGTTATCGTGATGCTTGACTTTGCTGTTGATGATGTTTGTAGAGCTAGAGCTTCTACCATATGCAGCTCACGATCATATTTGCATAAAGCATGCTTTCGAGCTGGAGCAGTCTTTCATGGAGGGTGCTTACAATCGTGTGCTGAGTGCACGTCAAGCTGTTCCACATGAAACTTACGTGTACTTTATGGACCTTCTTGCTAAGACTGTCAGGTATGATTCCTATATATATAATGGTTTTCTGGGTTTATTGCGTACATTCTGTTCTTTGCAAGGAATATGCTCTTGTTTTCGGGAATATTGGTAATGATGTACTTTCATTATCATCGTGCACAGAGATGAAATCGCAGGCTGTAGTGAGAAGGCGTATGATTCTTTGTCATTGGCGGATGCAAAGAAGATCCTGATGTTTGCATCTGATCGAGACTTGCAGGCATATGTACTGGATGTAAGTATACGTCTAGGTTTTTGCTCCAAATTGTTCTCACACAAATATGTAGTAATTTTGTACATCTCACATATTATTGACTTCTGTCATTGTTTCTGTTGAAGTTTTTCTACGTTTTCAGTTTTGAACGATTAATCGGTTGACTGTAAGCAATTGATGAGGATTGGGGGCTGGGAATTGCACAGGATCATCCTGATTGGGAGATTCGTGGCACCAGGGTGTACTTTCAAAAAGCCAAGGAACTTGCACCATGCAAAGAGATTCCTTCTCTTCAGCTGATCAATCAAACTCTAGGTTATGCTAGAGAGTTAGAGCGTATTGTATAGAATCAGGCTTACTGCCGCTCAAGTCTCTTATAAACTTCCTTCTTTTCACCCAAAAGAAAATTTCGATGAGGTGACAGTTGCATGCATTTATACGCTAAGTATGATTTATACGTGCAGTATGTTGTACTCGAATGCATGGCGCGTTAGTTGATAGTTAACGTTTCTGAATGTGATAATCTTCTCCACAGAAAAGTTAACCTCTACCTAGGCACATCTTATTCACTTCGAAGGATTCTGCGCTCGAGAGATCGTTGCCTCGTACTTTTAGATTGTATCCTGTTAATGAGTTAGTTGAATGTGCTGGTGCCGTAGGCTCTCTTTCGTCATTTTTCATCTGCGTGGGGATTGTGCAATGGCTTTTTTGGCTATGTGGATATCATGTGCTGTGCAACGAAGAACCTCTTAGAATGTATATAGGGGCGAAACAGTGCTCAACAGATAGTCTTCACTGTAAGGAGTATTTAATCGTCTTTCTAGTAGGAGCATGTTAAGATGCTATAAATGGGTGCGGTTCACCTTTAAGTGTAATCAAGCGAATTGCATTTCAGATCAAATGAACCAACGCATTTGGAGAACTGCGTGTAATTGATATCACGAATATTACATCTGTCAGCCACAATTTCGCATGAGTTGTCAATTCTGTGATACCAAGTCTACATTTAAGGATGAAACAATCACCTATCGACTACGATTCAAAATTTATCATAATACATCTTAAGGCAGCAAAACAAACCAGCAAACCCTCCGAGTCAGTAGCTTCGGATTTCACTCCGCATCTCTTGGTCCAGACGAAGTTCTTTGCAGCTTTCTGATGATTCTGAACATTGATTCGAAGCTTCTTCTCTCTTCTAGTTGAAAAGCAATAAGGGGGTTGAAGATGTCACTAACTTGACCAGACAGGTACTCTGTCCATGTGAAAGGTTTACACAGTGGTGGGTGTGCAGAGCTTACATTCTCTGGAGCAGTGGTGATGAGGATATTGGCTGGAGGGTAGGCCGAATACATCATGGAAAGCCGACCCTTGCCTTGATTCGGGACTGCTCGATGTAGAACAGCTTTGTAGGTGGCGTTTGTGAGCACCTGTAAGTCATAGAGACCAGTTGTCAAGCTCAAGAGATAATTAGATATGAAGTTAGAACTGGTTATTGTTGTTCTCCTGTTTCGGTTACTGAAATCTTTTGGAATCGTAGCACATTCTTCATCAAACCCATGCGTGGAATTAGTCCAGAGTATTTCGACAAAGTGATGTGACAGGAGCTGGGAGGAACAGGGATGTACCTCGCAAACGGCAGCCATGAGAACAATCATGACATCGTTTCGAGGTGGTACACTTACCCACTGGCCATCTTTTATTAATTCAAGCCCTTTAACATCACACCCTTGGTGCACTATGGTGAGTAGTGTATCATCAATGTGCGGTGGAAGCCCGATGTCTCGATCTGGATGCTCACTTGCGGGGTAGTTGCTGATTCTTAAAACTCCGAACTGTTCTGTCAAGTAGGGTTGAAAATGTGCGGAGTTAACCTGAGGTTTCAGGCCCTCAAGCACGAGCTCCATGATCTTTAAGGCCAGCTTATGTGATTCCGCATTTTACTCGTCCATGCTTATCCTAGAGTTTTGACACAGCACTGATAACTTTTAGTTCACAAGTGTTAGTTTCATTTGAAGGTGCAAGAAAACTGGCGTGCATAAGATTAACTTGAAATTTTGGCGTCGCCATGAGTTAGAATACAACTTGGTCTCACACAGTGTAGGATAAGGAAAGATGGACCCGATGCTCCTGAAGTGTAGTTGGCCATTGACTGACCAGAAAGTGCAAGCACAAGCAGACCTTGCTGGGGTTGAAAAGAAGAGATATACTGATTATTTATGTCATGATCTGCTTTAGGACGATGAAAGAACCACTGACACTTTACAGGGACAGTGAGATTGATAGCTTGGTTGCTACTCACCCGAAATCGGAATTGCCTTTAGGCCAGAACTTGCTAGCAATTACGTCGGCTTCAGAATGTGGGTACCCAAAGGTGATAGCTTCGGATGCAATTTCGCTGTTGAACGCGTCTGCGACGATGGCTCCATTCCCATATCCACACAAACTCCCCGGTGGCCGCTTGGCTTTCAACCTTGTTTCATCTGGCAGTTCAAAGACCTTGCCAGCTTGAGCTCTGGCCCTCTCTATCACGACCTGTTGAATGCCATGGTTGACCAGCTGGAAGGCGCCCCAGTCTTTGCATGCGTGAGCAATCTTAGCGATTATACGCTTCCGTTCACGTTCATCGACATGATCGTCTTGAAGTGCTGCAAGGTCAATGAGAGGTATGAGATCCGAAAGATTTTGCTGTGGCTGCAAATGTCCCCTTTCCTCCATTTTAAGACCGCATTGACAATGCGTCCAAAAGAATGAGTTTGGGATCTTCATCAGTTAACAGTTCTCGGACATGGTGTTATAAAATTCGAGTAGGACACAAGCTCGTGGACGAAAACTTTTGTATACAGTGGTGACAATCAGAGAAATGGATGGCACCCTTTAAACAGCTCTCACGAGAATAGAGACGGCGGCTCATACTGCGGAGCCAGGACACAAGGTTGCCTATTGCTTCGGCTAGAAAGCAGCTTCTGAAAACAAAATCTCAAAACTTACGTGAGCTCGATGAGTTGATGAATCTCTGGGGAAGGACTTGGACAACTTAAATGGACTCACCTCAAGCACCAGGCGCTCTAAGAGTACCCCTCATCATATTCAGAGATTCGAAGTGTGCAGGGATGTAGCAAAGGGTTTACATACACCGATCGAGAGATTAAGGAACTGGCTAAAGGTAGCCTCATTTGATCGGATAATCGACTTTCCTAAACAGTTAGCACCGAATGAGAAAAGCTCAGAGCTTCAGACAACCTCACCTTGTATCAATCTCCAAGTACAATTCAGTACCAGGGTTGATGCTTCGAGATTAATGACTGCATGATTTGTTGGATGCGAGGGGTGTGTATTTATCATGTCACGATCAGCCCAGCTTCTCAAGAGTCGATAAGTTGGAATATTACAAGATTCAGAGGATGATTTTCCAACATGCAAGGCACACATGGGATTGTTTACATCCAATGAAGTCTCTTGGAGACAGGCTAGGGCCACGTTCGGCGATCTGTCCAGTTGAATGAAGGCAGAGATCCAAGGTGCACTGTGGACTGGGATTCGGACTTGATTTTGGAGGGGCCCCAGAAATAATATCCAGTTCGTGAGCTTCTTACTTCGTGTCTGGACAGGGCATACTTGTTGCAAGATGAGAGGCTGCACTCCTTCATCACAGCCACGGGCCTGCTTCTGGGGATGTAGATCGGCCGCAGCGCTGGACCAAATCATTGAGTAACCACAAAGCTGGGTATTGGCTGGCTCCTGTGTCGTGCAGATTCCAGAATTGGACTTCCGCAACAGCCGCATGAGCTAGAATAGAATGTAGACTCCCTAAAAGGGTATCACATCCAGACTGGGAAGAATTTCCCATATCACACAATCATAGAAGAGTCTCCTCGGAGCCGCCCTGCCAGACCCAACAATCAGCTTTTGTGATATTCTGCGCCGGTGGACCTCTTCTGCATGCAACAATAGCTACTGATGACTGTGAATGCTCCTGAAATAGCATCTTGAGAACTGTGTGACGACTTTATCCGGAATTTGCTATTCACTCCACCCACTCTGTCCAACGATAATAGTACACTACAGTCGAGGCACTGCCGACTGGCCACTGTAGACTTGTGTGGAGTCTGAGTCGAATTCAGGACTTTATTACCAAAAATAGAGTAACTAAAAACTAACGTATATTAAATTTTCCCTTTTGAGGACTAATTTTATCCCGCAAGAGCTCAACAACAATTAACTTGAAATTAATCATGATAAGCACTTAAAATTTTCACATACGATTCAAACCTAAGGCAAATGTATTTCTAATTATGGAAATGTGTCAAAACTGTTGAGAATGTTTTAGAGAAAGACACAAGAGAGTATATAGAAGAAGAGAGAGCTTTTAAACAAAACTATATATTGATGTGGTTGTGTCACTTGTATACAAAGAGGAAGAGAAGATAAGCAGGTTTTCCCCACTACATTCTAAACACTATAGCTGCAGTATTTATTATAATTACAATGAATGTTATGGAGAACACCGTCTATATTTAATGCTCTCAATACTCCTCCTTATTTGTCATAATATTTATATAACATAAAATTTGTATAAAATTATAATCTATATTTTTTTGTAATTTTGTATAATCAATAGCTGATGCCTCATTAAAACCTTATCTGGAAAAATCTTCTTGCATTTAAGGGCAAAAACCATAGATGAAAGAAAAAGAGCACAACATCATTTTTTTATTATTATTTAAAGAATTCATTAACTTTCTTATTCAAGAAAAGAAAATTGGATCATACCAATGTCATAAATAAGTCAGCAATGGTTGCACAAAGGAAGAGTTTTGATGAGAAGATTAGCAAGCTTATTTATAGATTCAATTTTTTTTTATTTTAAGTGCTCAATCAATAACCAAGTTATGGATATAACTAAAATATTTTGGATCAATATGCTTTCTCTTATTGCCTATAATAAAACCAACTTACATCTGTACAATATAAACACTATTGTCTGCATACAAAATAGTTAGAGAATCATCATATAAAAGTCCACATGTTGTTTAAATGAGTTTATCAATTGATTGCAACCAAATGCATTCCCAATATACTTCATGTAAGGCAATAATTTTTGCATGATTGGATGAAGTTGCAGTTATAATTTATTTCATTGATTTTCATGATATTGCAACTCTATGTCTTAAAAATATATAGCTTATTTAAGATTTAGCTATTATAATATTAGATTTATATCTTCCATCACAATATCCAACCAATTATGAATCTACAAATCATGTGTAATAAATTTTCAAGTCTTTAGTATCTTTAAATAGTATAATAAATATTTGATGTCATTCCAATGTTGTAGTGTTGGACGTCCACTATGTCTTGCAAGAATACTAACTATAAATAAAATACCTAGTCTTATAGATGTGGCTAAATAAAAGAGTGCTCCAACAGTTGTGAGCTATAGATATTGATCTTCCAATATTTTTTCTTCCTCCTTACATGGATAGTATGGATTGCCACCATTATGACCACGTCCAACCATTATTGTTGATAATAGATAAGCATCAATCATATTGAATCTCCACAAGATTTATCTAATATACATTAGTTGATAGAAAAAAATGTTACCATCTGTGAGATGCTTAATTTGAAGACCAATGCAAAAAATTACTTTTCTCAATATATTTATCTCAAATTCACAGATAAGTAGGTAAATAGCTACAATGCATATAGATCTAATATCTATTATGTTAAGGTCATTAATATATATATATAATAATGATCACAAAACTAATTTTATCTCATTTGATAAATAAACAAGGGATCAATGGATTACTTATGAACTTATTTGTAATTAAATAATCTCAAAGATATTGATACCACATGCATCTAAATTGTTTTACATCATATAAGGCCTTCTATAATTTAATACCACAATATCATCCTAGAGTAGATGCATGTAGAATTTTTAATTCCAAATCAAATGGATGTCACGGATATACATAGGTACTTTAGTAAATACCTATATGATTATGTAGGAACAAGTAAAAGAAGATAAAAATAGGCTTATTTCATAAGATCTTCTAGAGTAGTTTCCTAGAAGCTTCATAGATACTGCTTTGACTTTATATATGTCTGTAGTTGATTGGTAGGTTAGAAACTTGGTCAATAAATTAACCACGTGTTGGTAGCTTATAAAACGAGTTAACTATGTAGCATACAAATAGAAAACTTGCCTTGCAATTTAAGATACATGTCTTGTAAATTCAACATGTTTTGGAAGTCCTATAGGACATCACTACATAGCTCTTAGTTAAGAATATATATGGAGGCAAGAGTAAAACCTTCTTCAATCTTGCTAATGCCTTTTTATTCTTTAGTCTTGTTTCAAGACTTTATAATCTTTTTGTTTTTGATAAAAACCATTCTAGTTTAATATTATATCACCTTTTGAATGACTTTGTAGTTATCTTCAATGATATTAGAGTGTATTGAGGATTTTCTTTCTTCGAGATTTATATCCTTGACAGTTTGACAAGAGTGTTATTTTATTATTTTTGTCTTATTTTAGAAGTGAGTAGATTATCCTATTTCTATTGTTGTATTTTAAAGGTTATGGACTATCTATTTTTAAATAAAAAATTTTTATTTTCTAATATTAATCTTTTTTTTAAAGAAAGTAGATTATCCTTTTTTTGTAGAAATTTTTATTAGAAGTTGTGGATTACATTCTTTTAATTTAATTCTTTGAATTTGTTTGAATAATCTATGAAAGGAAAGATTATGGATGCTACTTTCAGCAGAAGTGAAAATAGATTTCTAACTATTGCAGATCTTCATGAACTTCTCAATATTCTAAGAATAGAAATCTCATGTATTTTACGATATGAATCATAGAAGTACTATACCTATGCCTATGGAAGAAGTTTAGAATTTCTCGCAAAAATTTGTACAATTAAAAGAAGTAAGTAGATCAATCTTACAACCAAATCTAAGGAATTTTCTTACTACAAGTATAATGGAGACAAGGATTAGTATGCCTGAGAAGTTTGATGAAACAAGATCAAAATTTTGAAGATTTTTGCAATAAGTCAAGCTCTATCTAAGATTGCATCTTTTTAATATCCCAATGGATTTATCCAAGTCAGATACATAGGCACACTTCTATCAAGAAATATTCTCTCTTGATTTGTACTTTTAATAGAAAATAATTTGTGACTCCTTTATGATTTGAATTCATTCCTAAAAGTGTTTACAGCCATATTTGGAGAAAGAAATTGAAAAAGAGTAGCAAAGTCCAAGCTCTTATCTTTATGGAAAGGATCACGATTAACCATCATATATATTGCTGAATTCTAAAACCTTGCTTATGACGTGGATAGATATGATAAAGCCTTTATTAATCAATTTTGATATGGATTGAAGGATAGTATCAAAGACTTGTTATTGAGAATACCAAAAGTAGAATCTTAGGAACAATTTATTGCTCAAGCCATTGCATGTCATAATTGATTATTTAAAAAATATCAAGAACAAGAATTTGGTTGAAGAGAAAAACATCAAATAATGATGGCAACTTTTAAATTTTCATAAACTTATTCATCAAAGCCAAAACCAATGTAAATTGATATAGTACTTTTTAAATCCCTCACAAAGTAAGAAAAGAATTTGCAACATCAAGAAGACTTATGCTTATATTGTAGAAAAGCTAAACATACTGCTCAATATTTTCCAAAGAAATAATGCAATTACAAAATGAAAAGGATAATTGCCAAAGAAGACAATGTATCAAAAAACAAGTTATTCCAGCTACAATAGGGACCATGTGATTGAAATCATGTAGAACATCTAGTAAAGGTCTTATTCTCTCCTCAGATTCTTCATCTTGTTTCACAATAGAAGTCTATTTAGGATTAAAAAAAATCACAAAGTCTTAGCCTTGTTGGAATCTAGAGCCTCAGCTTGTTTTATAAATGAAAACTTTGTCAAAAAAAAAAGATATTTCTTTAGTTAAAAAAATCAAACATGTGCATGTAGAAGTAATAGATGGACGTTCATTGTCTTTTGAGGATGTTATACATGAAACTATTCTTGTAGAAGTAGTAACTAATGGTCACAATAGTTTAATAATATTTAATATAATTAAATCTCTTTCTTATTCAATTGATTTAGGATTATTGTGGTTAAAAAGATATAATCTTCAAATAGATTAGATTTCTTATAATCTTGATTTTTTTTCATAGTTTAGTTAAAGGTCCTGCTGGACAAGTAGAAATCCATAAGTCTAGTACATCCAAACCATGATTTATAG